GGAGAGAACGACTAGAGTTTCTGTCTATTTCCTCTACTTTTACCATTTGTTTTTGGTTTTGCGTGTCAATTTAATAGTACCAATTCAATTAAAAGTTTTTTTTTTATAAAAAAAATATCAAAACTATGCCAAAATGATGAATTGTAATTGTATGAAATTTTGTGTTATGATAGCGTAGTTTACACTTGATTTGAGAATTTGAACTTGAAATTTCATTTATCATTGAGAAGATAAGTAGCACTAAACTAAGATATAGTTATACTACGACATAGGTGTGTCACTTGTGTAATTCGAATGTGAAGTTGTTAAACTTTTTAATTATTAATGTTTTATTTTGTGAAATATCCATACCACAAAATATCCAATAATCAAAATATAAATTTTAAGTGTATGGTATAAATGTTGAATTGGTAAAAGAGTATGGCACGCTTTCTATTACATATATTTTTTTTAAAATAGCAAAGTACAACTAAAAGGAGGATCCTCAACAACCCATCCTATTTCCAAACATGTCAAATGATAGTTTATGAGTTACCAAAAGAGAAAAATTACAAACCAAATGCAAGAGCGAACATAAATATGTCATAAATATGCTAAATTATCAACTACCATATTAGCTTATCGATAAATATAATATAGAGTGTAACTCAATAGTTGAGAAAGCAAATGCCAAATGGCAATTACTATATTAGCTTATCGATAAATATGATGTAGAATATAACTTGATAGTTGAGAAAGCAAGTGTCAAATGACAGCTACCATGTTAACTCATCGAGAACTATAATGTAGAGTGTAACTCAATAGTTAAGAAAGCAAGTGTCAGATGACAACTACCATATTAACTTATCGATAAATATGATATACAGTGTAACTCGATAATTGAGAAAGCAAGTACCAAATGACTATGATGTTTGGAACCACCAACACCTGCAATTGCTAATAGTCTACACACCATAATTTGTTAAAAAAAGGTAAATAAACTAACCTAATATGCGATAGAATTTTGACTTATTTACAGCTTAATTTTAAATAACAAACCCTAATTTTTGTTCAAAAAGGCTAGATGGTTAATTGGGTCAGTCTGTGGGTACACGCCAAAGTCCATCAAACGGATGGACGCGGATTAACGACGGGGACATAGGCAAAAACGACAGCGTTTCCCAGTATTTCTATAAGCGTTTCACTTTTTGTATTTCTAAAAGCTTCATGGAGAATTTATCAAAAATAGCCCAAATTTACACTAAACTTTCAAAAATGTCAGTTTTTATAAAATCTTTCAAATATAACCAAAAACTCACATAAATAGACACAAATACCCTTAAAAATTAAAACCCACATAAACCTAAAAAGCAAAACCCTACTACACAAAATTTGGATTCGCACGCACATTTGTAGCCTTTGGTTGAACTACTGTTGAGCACGCACGTCTGTAGCATTGGTTAGAAGCAATTCCAACACTCCCTAATTCAACTTACCGATCTGTAATCTCAGGTTTGCTTTTCTTTCTTTATCTCCTTCCATCTTTGTTTTAATTCCATCATTGTAAGTTGAATTAGGGAATATTGAGGCTATATAGATGTGTTGCCCATTGGTATGGTTATTAAGTTCCTCATCAACTCCCATAGAGGCACTCCTCATTTCATGCAATGACGATACTTTCTACAAATTTGATTATATAACCTTTATGTGCGAAAGAAAGAGTTTTAAAAAAAGTTGAATATTCAAAACATAATTATTGAATACTAGTGTCTCTAATAGAAGTTTTTAAGTTTTTTGGTCCTATTTATGGATATTTCCTCTCAAGTTGCTGCGATAAACATAGAAATGACAGCTCTCACAAAGACAGTGGGTGTGTTCCCGAAGTCTTTGATAACAAAGTCTTTGCACATAGATTCAATACTTTGATAACATATCTTTTCATTTATCCTATCTCAACGTCTTTGCACACAGATTCAATACTTAGCCATTTTCAAGAGAAATAATGTCACCTGAGAAGAAAGGTGAACAACTTGTTTTATCAGCGAAGCTATAGTTCAAG